CTCGGCATTCTTGCTTCTCTGCTAAGTGGGATAACATCCTGCACCCTTCCTACCTCTGGTGGTTGAATAACACGAGAGGTGGGATGCAGGAACCCTTGATTGAAGCACTGGCCATGTGCTCAAACAATGCTATGGAGGCTTGTCACTGCCTATAAGAGCTACTTAGCCAAAGAGAAATTGGAGTCAGTGGTATTCTTTTATCAATACTTACCCAGAGTCTTTCTGCTCTGTGAAACTTCTCTTTGTCCCTCTCCTTGGGCCTCCTGCTCTCTCCAGTGCCCCGCTCCCCTTTCCCAGACCATTCCTCTGATCCCATGGCTTCTGTGCTGACATGAAATGCATGTGCATTTCTGCTGCATCCAGATCTCTGCCTGGCCCTCAGTCCTAACCCCAGACCTCTGACATCTCCCTGATTGCTATGCAGGTTCAGAAGCTCAGCTGGGGTTTCTTCTTTCTTCCTTCCTTCCTTCCTTCCTTCCTTCCTTCCTTCCTTCCTTTCTTTCTTTCTTTCTTTCTTTTTTGACAGGCAGAGTGGACAGTGAGAGAGAGAGACAGAGAGAAAGGTCTTCCTTTTGCCGATGGTTCACCCTCCAATGGCCGCCGCGGCCGGTGCACCGCGCCTATCCGGAGGCAGGAGCCAGGTGCTTCTCCTGGTCTCCCATGGGGTGCAGGGCCCAAGTACTTGGGCCATCCTCCACTGCACTCCCTGGCCACAGCCGAGAGCTGGCCTGGAAGAGGGGCAACCGGGACAGAATCCGGTGCCCCAACCAGGACTAGAACCCGGTGTGCTGGCACTGCAAGGCAGAGGATTAGCCTACTGAGCCGCGGCACCAGCCAGCTGGAGTTTCTACCCTTTGTGTCTCAGCTGAAGACGTCACCTGTACATGTCACCCTCTCATGCACCTGTGTGGACCCTTCTCCAGTGCTACTGGAATCAGCCCCTTCATTTCTACCTTCACTGCTATTCCCCTGATTTATACCCTGTTTGCTTGCGTCTCAACCACCATTTCAAAGCATTTAAAATTACATATTTATGAGGGTTCTTCACAGTGTCCTTGGACAATGTGTATCATGAAAAATATATGCACTGATTTGATTTTTTTTTGCACCAAAATAAGCTTATTTTTAATTCCATTTTTGTCTACTTGTTGAGTACCCTCACGTTTGTATAGCAACAGAACCAAAGTTTTCCTGTGCCTGAAGGAATCTTCTTGAAGCGCTCACTGAGTGGAGTAGGGCAGCATCACTGCTCTGGTTGTGGTTGGTTTGTGGGCTTCTTTCTGTCTCTGCCAGGGGAACCCTGCCCGTGACCCCAAGGCCCCCGACACTAGGACCTTGAAGAGCCAGGCATGAAAACCACAGCCACCTCTAAGCCACTTCCTTGTTCCTTCTTCATCCAGAGTTTTTTCTGGAAATATGTCTCTCAAGAACCCACCCGATACCCAGTATGTAGCAGGTGTCCATTCTATGTTGAATAGTCAAACAGCTGAATGAATTAATTTGGTAAGCTTTTTTTCAAAAGATTTTTTAAAAATTTATTTTATTTGAGAGACAGAGGGAGAGACAGAGAGAGGTCTTTCATGTGCTGATTCACTCCCCAGTGGCCATAATGGCTGGAGCTAAGTTGATCCGAAGCCAGGAGCCAGGAGCTTTTTCCAGGTCTCCCATGTGGGTGCAGGGTCTCAAGCACTTGGGCCATCTTCCACATCTTCCCCATCTTCCAGGCCATTAGCAGAGAGCTGGACCAGCAGAGGAGCAGCCAGGACACAAACCAGCAGCAATATGGGATGCCAGTGCCGCAGGTGGGGGCCTAACCTACTACACCACGGCACTCACTTTGATAAGTATTTATTTATTTATTATTTATCTATTTACTTGAAAGAGTTACAGAGAGGCAGAGCCAGAGGCAGAGAGAGAGAGAGAGAGAGAGAGAGAGAGAGATCTTTCATTGGATAGTTCACTACCCAATGGCTGCAAGGGCCAGAGCTGTGCCAATCCAAAGCCAGGATCCAGGAGCTTCTTCTGGGTCTCCCACGCAGATGCAGGGACCCAAACATTTGGGCCATCTTCTACTACTTTCCTAGACCATAGCAGAGAGCTGGATTAGAAGTGGAGCAGCCGGGACAAGAACCGGCACCTATATAGGATGCCGGCACTGCAGGTGGCGATCCCTTGATAAGCTTTTTAAAGCAAGAATGGACAGGGCATCAAGGCGTCATTTGCCTCCCTTGCACTGGCTATTATTTTATATGATTAATTTTATTTATTTGAAGGAGAAACAGATTTACCATCCACTGATTCACTCCACATATACCTACAATGGCTGGGGCTGCCAGGCTGAAACCAGGAACAAGACAGTCAGGGTCTGCCACGTGGGAGTCAGGGACTCAACCACTGCACCTGCTGCTTCTCAGGGTGCATGATAGCAGGAAGCTGGAAATCTGAAGTGGAGCCAGGAGTCTAATGCAGGTGCTCTGATGTGTTAAAAGGAACCAGGCTGTGGGGCTCTGTGTTTCAGCCTTTGTGAATGTTATCAGTCCAGGTGAGTAACAACAGGGAGGGTCTGTGAACAGCGTGGTTGAGCTGTGTCTCACTGCCTGTGAGTGGCTCCTTTCCCATAGTACTGATTGCTCTGTCCAGTCTGCAGACTCACCTTCTGACCTACAGCCAGAGACGTTTCAGGAGTGTTGTCTGGACCCTGTCGCTGAGCCCTGTGCTCACTCAGGTGACTGGCTTCCTGCCAGCCTTGCTTCTCACATCCTGTCCCTACCGTTTACCCCAGTTTTCTTGAGTGGCCCTGATTGTCTTTCCCAAGTCTGAGGCCTTGGTTGGCAGCCTGACCTAGAGCTGTCCCTTGCTGGGTGGTTCCTGCTGCTCCAATGGTGATTCGCACGTTGCTTGCTGGCTTTTGAGATTTCCTTGGAGCTAGTTTCTTATGCTTGTTGGCATCTTGACATTTACCTTCAGCCCAGCTGTCAGTCATTCTCCTTCCTCCTTCCCAGGGTCTGTCCAGGTTCCTAGGTATCCATCTAAGTGTCTTCTGCCTGTCCTCACTTGCCGTTCCCTCATGTCACACCTGCAGGTGTTTTAGCAGCCCATGGCTTTGGGACTGTCTAGCTGTGTCCCAGAGAACGGCATCATTTCCTGTCCAAGTGAGTAAGCCTGAGAGCTCCCAGTGATCTTTGGCTCCTCCCACCACCCCTTCCTTCTCTACCCTCCTCTAGCATATCACAAAACACTTGGTTTTATCTTCTAAACAGTCTCTTTAGCTCTATGCTGCCATTCCCATCCTGGTGCCTCTCATCTCTCACCTGAGTAACTTCAACTGCATCTTAATGTCCCTCCCACACCCACTGCTGACCCCTCTGTAGTGTTCTCCACCCTCTAACCAGGTGGAAGACTTAAAGATGTGATACTGTTAGTGTCACATCACAGTCTTGCTCAAACCCTTCCAGCTCTTGTGTTGCTTTTAACAAGCAGGACCAGGATAGAAGAATGTGAGAAAGCGTCCACCCAAGCCACCTCCCGTCCTAGCTTCTCTTTCTCTGTCCAGTGCCCTCTTTTTTGGAATGCGTGCCCCCAATTGCCTCCCACTCTGGGACTTTGAACATGCTGTTTCCTTGGACTCCTTGTTCTTTTTGTTTTTAAAGATTCATATATCTATTTATTTATTTACTTGAAAGGCAGAGTTGGAGAGAGAGAGAGGGGTATCCTCCCTCTGCTGGTTCATTCACCGAATGACTGCAATGACTGTGACTGGACCAGGGTGAAGCCAGGAGCCTGGAATTACATCTGGGTCTCTCACGTGGATGTAGGGGCCCAAACTCTTGGACCATCTTCTGCTGCTTTCCCAGGCCCATTAGTTGGGAGCTAGATCAGAAGCAGAGTGGCCAGGACTTGAAGCGGCACTCATATGGGGTGCAGGCAGGGACTGAGTCCACTGTGCCCCAGTGCTGGCCCCTTTCCTGTGTTCTTATCTTTCGACTTAAAGCTCAAACACCCCCTTAACCCCAGTGCCCACCTGATGCCCTTCTCCATGAGGATTTTCCATCTGCACCTTGCATTTGCCCTCACAGCACCTTGACCTCACCTTTTCAGCACTCATCACAGGTTTTAATTATGTAGTCATGTGGTCATTCACGAATATGGTTCCCATGTGAACCTCCAATGAGGGCCAAGGACAGAAGCTGTGTCTGTTTTGCTGGGAGTTTTATTGAGCCCTGTGATTAATGTGCAGTCGGTGGTTCATACATATTATTAGGTGATGTGAGTAGCCCTAGCATGTGCCCACCTGTCCCGCCCAACAGAAGTTAGCTGGGGCTGTGTGTGGGCATGTCCTCGATGGGTACCACCTTATAAAGAATAAATCATAAAATGAATGTCTAAAACAGAACCACAGAAATTCCTGCATTGCAGAGTGAGAGAATTTGAATATGTATATTTATTACTTTGGTTTCTTGGTGGAAGGCGTTCACTAGCTATTACACAGCACTGTGCTCCACTGTGCTTCCTGTACTCTTCCTGTTCACTGCCTTCTTTTACTCCTGGGAATTCAACCCTCCCCTACCCTGTGGATTGCCTTTTTTTTTTCTTTGCCTTAACTACTGGGGTCCTCAGTGCTGAATTTCATGATTAACTTTAGTAGTTAACTCTGCCCAGGGACCTGCTCATATCTGTTTCATCCTCTTTTAAAACTGACCTTTTGTTTGCTTGCTTGATTATATTATGCTCTTGCATTATGTTTATGTCTTCAGAAAGTTCATGGAAAATCCATATTATGAAAAAACTGTGCATGGATTTCAAAAATGTTTTGACCCAAATAAACTTACCTTTTAATTCATGTTTTCACAAACTTTTTGAAGTACCCTGGTATTTATATACTATGTTACATAGCATATTGCAGGTATTTTTAATTTGTATGGCATGTTGCATACATGGAATGTATAATATATTGCATATGTGTATATTACAAAACCTGCCTTCTCCCTTTGATCCCACAGTGGCAACAACCCGTATTCCTCATTTGGAGCAACTCTGGCAAGGGATGATGAAAAGAACTTATGGAGTCTGCCTCATGACGTGTCCCACACAGAGGCTGACGATGACAGAATCCTGTACAATCTGATAGTCATTCGTAATCAGCAGGCAAAGGACTCCGAGGTAAGCACCTTTCTTTAAAAAAATATTTTATTTACTTGAAAGTCAGAGCTGGAGAGGGAGGGAGGCAGGAAGAGAGATATCAATCTTTCATCTGCTGGTTCACTCCCCAAATGCCTGCAATACCAGCGGCAGGCTAGGCGGAACTCAGCAACCAGAACTCCTTCCAGGTCTCCCAGGTAGGTGGCAGGGACTCAAGTATTTGACCTATCATTTGTTGCCTCCCAAGTGGGTCAGAAACAGAAGTGGGACTGGATTCTAGGCCTTCCAGTAAGGAATACCAGGTATCCAAGTGGCAGGTTAACTTGCTGTGCCATAATGCCTGCCTCTGGTAAGCACCTTTAGACATCTTGCTGTGTGCAGAGGGAAACACCAATTATGAGGAAGATCAGCTAGAAAGAAAGAATGACGGATAAGCTATCTGAAATGAAGGGCAGGATATTAGTAGCATATATTATCAGTCCTTGCTAATTATGGCTAGTCTTGATGGACTGGTGCTATAAACAGATAAGACTCTGATTCTTACCTTAATAATCCAAATTACATACAAGATGATGCTGTTGAAGCTTGTGAAGATGGTTAGTCATTTTTACTGGATTAAATTATCCATCTCTGGTCTTTTCAGTTGTGTAGCAGGCCACAGTTGATTCAGACTAAAGTTTGAAGGGTACTTTGCATTATCACTAATTCTGAATGCTTAGGACCTGAATTTGTTGTTTTTCTTAAAACTCCTTAAATTGTGTATGTATCAAATAGTGGAAGGGCTGCTGTGTGGAATGATTTTTGTGATAAGGCTTGAAACCACTCCTAATGACTCAATTCAAGGTTGTTGGTTATGGGAGTGCTAGAGTGTTAGAAAGTATGGGACTCCAGAAGTTAAAACAAAAACAGCAAAGGGTACCATGGTTTTTCTTCCTTTCTTTCAGAAGTGATATTGGAGGACTATGTAGACTACAGTATGATATCATTTTCCAAGTGCTGCAAGCTTGGTTTGCTGACTTCTGTGTCGGTTAGCTCAGCATACACCTGCTTTAAGTATGCCCTGTTTCTTTGTACCCTACAATGATTGAGAGCAGAGTAGAGAACCTCAGAGCTTAGGCTTGTGGCTTGTGCTCTGAAGGAAAGCACCAGGGTGGGGACTAGAGAGTGGAGGTTGTCAGCTCCTTCTCTAGATTTCTTTATATTTGTGAATTGATTGCTAACAATCCTCCTCTCCACTACCCAACCACCAAAATAGTATTTTAGCAGTAGGTTATAGTTTTTAGAAGTGTCCTGGTCCTTTGACCTGGATGCCTTTGCAGGGGTTGGAGTAGGGACATAGGCTGGGGGAGGGGCTGTTTCTTCTGTTTGTTTATTTATTTGCTTTTTGAGGTAGAGTTACAGAGAGAGAGAGAGAGAAAGACAAAGGTCTTACATCCCCAAATGGCTACAACAGCTGGAGCTGAGCTGATCTAAAGCCAGGAGCCAGGAGCTTTTTCTGGGTCTCCCACGTGGACACAAGCACTTGGGCCATCTTCTACTGCTTTTCCAAGCCATTAATAGAGAGCTAAATCAGAAGAGGAGCAGCCAGGACTCTAAACTGGTGCCTTAGCCTACTACACCACAGTGCTGGCTGCCACCTCTGATTCTTTATATATATATACATATATACATATATATACATATATATATATATATATAATGATTTTTTTTTTATTTATTTTAAAGGCAGAGTTACAGACAGAGGGAGAGACCAAGAGAAAGGTCTTCCATTCTCTGGTTCACTCCCCATATGGCTGTGACTGCTGGAGCTGGGTGGGTCTGAAACCAGGAGCCAGGAGCTTCTTCCAGGTCTCCCATATGGGTGCAGGGGCCCAAGCATTTGGGCCATCTTCCACTGCTTTCCCAGGCCATAACAGAGAGCTGAATTGGGTGAGGAACAGCTGGGACTTGACTCAGTGCCCATATAGCATGCTGGCACCACAGGCAGAGGCCTAGCCTGCTGTGCCACAACACTGGTCCCTTGCCTCCGTTTCTTGAGGTCTGGGCAAGTATGGGCTGGAGAGCCCCACAGAGGTTGGCAAGCATCTTACTGGTGGCAAAGCACCGTTCTCTCTCTGGTTTGCCATGTCCCGGCAAAATCCCCTCCTTGACTGCTAACACTGAAAGCTTATCACAACAACTGTTGCTACTAGCACAGCCTGCCTGGCTGCCCTTCCTGAGCAGGTGAATGGGAGTAGGGGCCTTGTTTCACTTCAATGGGAAGAGCCAATCCTGACATTAGCATGGGTGGAGAACTTTTTCTGCCAAGAGCCATTTGAATATTTATAACATCATTTAAAGGCCATGCAAAATTATGAACTTGAAAATCATCTTGCTATGGGTTTATTGAATTTAAAGTCTCACATACTGTTGCCTTGGCAGGGACAGAACAAATGATTTTGTTAGCCTTATATGGCCTGATGGGCTGGACATTCTCCACCCCTGCTGTATTGAGTTGACCAATTAGGGTTTTTGCTGGTGACAATGGAACTGGTTCTTTTTTTTTCTCTTTTTCCTGGGCTCTACCCAAGGCAGTAACAGCAACAGGGAAATCACATGTAGCCTCTTGCCCCATGTGTGCATGTGCACTTTCACACATATATGTTCACTCACGCACATGCATAAACACATATCCCCGGCCTTCATGAAGATGTGAAAGGAATAACCAGGGCTGCTTGGAGCTGAACTTGGTAGCTCTTCCTGGAGGAGCTCATGCTAAAGACAGTCGGTTAAGCAACATGAGCTGCAGAGCAGTGTCAACAGGCACAGCTTCCACGATGGCTGGTCCTTAGATCTGGTGTGCAGAGACATCCAGAAGGCTTTTTCTTCTCCTTGCCCAAGAAATGGAGTCAAGCTTGACTCTGGAGGAACTCTGTTACCAAGACAGGCAACCGTATAAGCAACCCAGAAACATGATGATTATGCATGAAGCAATTTGAAATATCCCTGTTCATAGTGCTTCCTTCTTCAAATTTTGAAATTTTAAATTTTATATTAAAATTTTAAATTTAAAAGGGTGCTTATATTGTCTTCCCAAATATGCAATACAAGGATGTATTAATGTCTGTATTCAATTTCCCACAAAATGGATCATATACATTATTCTGTACCTTGCTTTTTTCTGCTTAATATGCTTCGGACATCTTTCCATTTCAGTGTGCTTTCATTTATCTCACTGCTCCTGGGGTCTCCCTGCTGCACTGCAGCATGGATTTACCATCGTTTGTTCAACCAGTCTTGATTGGTGTTTAGACTGATTCCATTTTTCTTGCTTTTAGAAGTAATGCTGGAGTCTATATCCATATATACTTGTGTGATCTTCCAGAGCTTTTTCAGGTATAGAGCTATTGAGCCAAAGTATGTGCACTTAAAATGTTGGAATGGTGACAGTGCTTCATCCTTGGAAGGGCCTAGGGAAAACTTTTCAGGTGCATAACAGAGGTTGCAACTTGAGATCCCCAGAGGGACTAGCAGCAACACCCATGCCTAGCATGTTGAATGGCATTGTAAACTCTCACCGTATATACAAAGAGCAGTTTCAAAACTCCAGATAACTATTTGCTGTGCTGGAATGTGGGCCCACAAAGGTTGGAAATTTTGATTTTTCTAAAACAGAAATGAAAAATCCAGATTTTCATTTCATTTCATCCAAGTTGTCTAGATTTTAAAATCATAATTCATATTTTAAAATGTTGCTAAACAAAATATATTAATGGGCTACTGGTATGTAAGGGCATTTACAGTGAGACTTCCTACTCGTACTACTTGTTGTTATTGTCATTTTGTCCAATGTGACTGAACAATGAACTTACCAGTTATTTAGAGGGTGAAGGTGGAAAGCTGGTAAGGGTGTTTTAAGTTTGAATAAGCTCCGTATCAATTACTATTACTTTCTTTTTCAAAGAGGATAAAATTGGTACAGATTTAAATGAAATTGATGTTTTTTGTTTTGAAAGGAAATTAAATTGTACCTACCAATGAATAAGGAACCTAAATATTTATATATGTCACTATTTAGAAGCTCAAGCACAATATTAAGAAAAGTGAACATGCTATTTCGCTTTGAGCAAAAGACCTAACAATATCTGTTTCAGAATAGCCTTCCAAATTAGCTGGAGGTATTGCTATAGAGTCCCCAAAGCTGGATCCCCTTACCCAGTATGCAGAAAGCCAAACACTGACATCGGGGTGGTGGAAGAAAGTAGGTATTCATTACAAAGCACGGAGCAAGGAGCTGGGTAGCTTTTGCTTAATTCCTGGCCTTCCCAAGTTTTAAGGGTGAAAGTTCTTATAAATTTAAATTGGAGCTTCCAGGTCTTAGCTATTGTGAATTGAGCTGCAATAAACATTAAGGTGCAGACCGCTTTTTTTGTTTGCCAATTTAATTTCCTTTGAGTAAATTCCAAGGAGTGGGATGGCTGGGTTGTATGGTAGGGTTATATTCAGGTTTCTGAGGAATCTCCAGGCTGACTTCCATAGTGGCTTAACCAGTTTGCATTCCCACCAACAGTGGGTTAGTGTCTCTTTTTCCCTACATCAACAGTAGACTGGATAAAGAAGTTATGGGATATGTACTCTATAGAATACTATACAGCAGTCAAAAACAATGAAACCCGGTCATTTGCAACAAGATGGAGGAATCTGGAAAACATCATGCTGAGTGAAATAAGCCAGTCCCAAAGGGACAAATATCATATGTTCTCCCTGATTGGCGACAACTAACTGAGCACCAAAAAGGAAACCTGTTGAAGTGAAATGGACACTATGAGAAACAGTGACTTGATCAGCCCTTGCCCTGACTGTTGATGAACAACTTAATACTTTAGCCCTTTAAGTATTTTTTTTGTTCTAGTTAATACTATTGGTTGAACTCTGTAATTAATACACAATTATTCTTAAGTGTTGAAACTTAACTGAAAAGTGATCCGTGTTAAATATAAGAGTGGGAATAAGAGAGGGAAGAGATGTACAATTTGGGACAT